CCCAGTTACCTCTCATGGTCTCGGTGGGAGCCCTGCTCTCTTTCCCCTGCTCATCGCCAGCCTCATTGGGCTCTTGTGGGTCCAGAATCTCTGTGCACAAGCTCTCACCGAGATCCTAGAAATGCCCTCCTTCCCCCTTATCCACTTGTCTAATGCAGTGTCCTCAAGTCTTTGTCCTGTGTTGACTTGACAGAGCCCCCACTACTTACTGCAGTCTCACGGACTTTGTCTACTCTTAGCAGCAATCACATTATAGCATTCTTTCTCATGTCCGAGGCAGGCACCTGACCACCATGTATCCCAAACAGCTAATACAGTGCCTAGTAGTCAGCACCCAGGAAATATGTCTTGAAATGGATTTTTGCTTGCTGAATAGAAAATCCAGAAACACAGCAATAAAAGACTTGTGAGGAGTGGAACATTCATTTGGAATATTTCTGTCAGGGCCCCACATTGAGAGGCATCTGTCTGGTCCAGCAGACTTATCTGACCTGTGCTTGGAAGGAGGAGTGTGGATTGAGGAGAAAATTAGACCAGAAGAGTCAGGAGGGAACATCCAGTGAATACTTAGATAAGCCCCAAGTTTATTACACAAAGGTCTTATATTCTCCAGGTTAAAGGGGGAAGGCAAAAGGCTTCTTACCAAGATACAAGGAGCAAGCAATCATAATAACCTTCTCAGTACCACACCCTAAACCAGATATCCTGTTGTCAATGCAAGACACACAAAAACCATACCTTAGGCCAAACATGCTGTGGATGCAATCTTGAAGAAGCAGTAATAGGCTTGAACTCTCTGACCTTAAGTCAAGATGAAACGGAGCCACTTCTGTGGGCCCCAACATATTTCTAAAATACTTGCAGAAATGTCTGAAAAGAATTATGGACAGGGTTTGACCTTGTGATGCAATTCTGAAGTAATTAATGATGGTATGATTGACCTGCTGTAGTTGTTCCTCTGCTGCTGTGACAAAACCCTGACCAAAGCCACTTAAGGAGGAGAGTGTGAGCTTAGTTTAGCTCACATCTAGGGAAACCACAGCAGGAATTCTGCTCACCAGCTTCTCCACATGGCTTGTCCAGGCTGTTTTCCTGGACAAGGGGTGGCACTGTCTTTAGAGGGTGGACCTTCCCACATCAATCTCTAACAAGAAAATGCCCAACATACATGCCTGTAGGCCACCTCATCTTGTTGGTTGAGGTATCTATCTCTTCAGATAACTTGCTTGTGTGTGGACCAGAACCAAAGTAGCCCTATCTTTAAGCATCTCCATTCTCCGTGCTTATGATGGACAGCCTCATTTGATTGTGTTTCTCCTATCTTTGCTAGCAGGGTTTTAAAAAAATGGTCAATTCCCAGGTGGTTAACCTAGTGCAATTGCTTTTCTAGATGGGGCCATCTGTTTGTTTAAATCTGCCTATTTGTTTACTTGTTTGTTTATTTTGGTTTATTGAGACAATGTCTCTTTTTAACAGCCCTAGCTGTCCTGGAACTAGCTCTGTAGATCAGGTTGGCCTCAAACTTGCCTCTCTACCTCCCAAGTACTGGGATTAAAGGTGTGTGCCAGTACCATCTGGCTTATTTATTTAAGTATGCCTGCATGCCAGAAGAGGGCACCAGATCTCATTATAGGTGGCTGTGAGCCACCATGTGGTTGCTGGGAATTGAACTCTGGAAGAGCAGTCAGTCATCTCTCCAATTCTATTTATTTATTTTGAACAGGCCACATTATATAGGCCTGACTGGCATGGTACTATGTAGACCAAGCTAGCCTGGGAATTCATAGAGATCCGTCTGCCACTGCTTGGCAAATGCTGGAATTAAAGGTCTGTGCCATCACGGTGTTTTTTTGTTTTTTGTTTTTGTTTTGTTTTGTTTTTACGAGACAGGGTTTCCTCTGTATTGTTTTGTCTTGTTTTCTTAATAGTGTGAATGTGATTTACTTTTAAGTAATACTGTCAGAGAAAGAAATGGAAAAGGAATGTTTTGTTGACTGCTGTATCCTCTTGCTAAAGTTCTTCTTCTCTCCCATTTTTTCTGCAGGAACAGCATCAGGCCTTCCTGTACCAGCTGATGCAGCAGCAGCAGCAGCAGCAGCAGCAGCAGCACCACCCGCCTGAGCTCCAGCAGCTGCAGCTCCCTGGGCCCACACAGATCCCCATCAACAACCTCCTTGCAGGGACTCAGGCGCCGCCACTTCACACAGCCACCAGTAACCCCTTTCTCACCATCCACGGGGACAGCACAAGTCAGAAAGTGACCGTGAGTATATTCTGTGGTATACCTCGGGAGGCAAGGATCATAGTGAACAGAGATGGATGTTTTTAGCCAATATTTCCTTCATAAAACCAGTTGTTTTAGCAGCTGGATATTATGAACAAAGGGTCTAAGCCATTTTAATTTACATGTTCTTTAAGTATGTCAATTTGAATTTGCATATAAGGTTTGAAGGCCATTTTTAATGTAGCTTTTCCTGAAATATTTTAGTTGTTGAGGTATCAGACAGCCCATTCAACACAGGTTATTTTTTAAAAAGAAACTTTAATTTGATTATAAAATTTTCTCCCTTTAATTTTATATATGTTTTATCATGTTTGATATGGTAGATATGCAAAGTTAGGGCAATAGTCTAAGCTTTCTACCAGATTCCTTAAAAAAGTAAATTGCTGAGCCAGAGAGATGATTGAATGCTTGACAGGGCATCTTAAGCACCTGAGTTCAGTTTCCAGCACCTAGCATAGCCACTTGTAACTCCTGCCCCAGGAGTTGCATACCCTCTCTGGCTTCTGTAGGTACCTGTACAGGTATATACCTGCATATAAACCCAAACCCACAGACAGGTACTCTCTCTCTCTCTCTCTCTTTTTCTCTCCCCCCCCCTCTCTCTCTCTTTCTTTAAATCTTTACCCCAATCACAGTTTCAATAGAATGTAAAAATTAAATGTATTATGATTTATAAATCATAGCATCTAACTCTATGGGAATAAAAGTGAAGGTAGGTGTGGCTGCAGGAATAGCCCCCACACATGAACTCATGATTTAGGGCCATTGGCTTATGTTAAGTCTTCCCTAACTCCAGTTGAGGACAGACACCTGTAAGACAATACTGCAGTAGAGTGTGGAGGCCAGAGAAGGACTAGGGGTCAGGTGGGCAAATGTGAGCACTGATATTGTCATGTTCCGTTACTTTGAGGTTTTCTCTTGTGATTTTAATTTTAACCTTCAAAAACATTGGTTTTCATTTAGTAATGAATACTGAGCGGGTCAAAGTCTGGGCTAATTGTTGAGAGTCCTCTTGCTGTGCTTGTTTTCTGAGTGTGAGTACTGTCTCCTTCTCCCATCTATGATTCTGTGTTTATATGGGCATTTGACACCATTTCCCATGCTTTTGTTTATGGATATTTTCCATATTAAAAATAGATGGATTATAAGCTAGTTTTCCCCAAGTTATGCAATATGAGATATTTTCAGTGAAATAACCACAATAAATAATTGGAGACTAAACATCCTTCTGGGGTGTTGGCATATGCCTATAAGCTGCTTGAGTGGCTGAAGCAACAGGATCATGAGTTTGAGGCCTGAGTCATACAGAGAGACCTTATCTGTCTGTCTGTCCTTCTGTCTGGGTCTCTCTCCCTCACCTTCCCTCTACTCCTTCTCAGAGACAGGGTCTCTACATAGTCCTGGATGTTTTAGAGCTCCTTGTGTAGGCCAGGCTGACCTCAAACTCCTAGAGATCCATCTGCCTCTGCTGCTGAGTGCTGGGATTGCAGGTGTGCACTGCCACAGCCGGCTGAGACCCCTCTTAACAATAGAGTACTAAGGGCAAAGCTGGGCAATGAGGGAGATGCCAGGGACCACGGAGTACACTGTCATGTCATTTCAGCCATTAAATTGAGAGGTGCAACCCCACGTATTATCGGCAAGAGGTAAAAGAAGAGGTTAGTGCTCAGAAAACATACAACATTGGGGTCAGGACGATGACTTTCTTGGTCCATAAAAAATGCAGTGTTGGCCACACCATGTACATGGGAGGGAATTCTGCATCTTTCCTTGGGCACTGTATTCAAGAACAGACACCCCACCTTTTGTTTTTTTGTTTTGTTTTTGTTTTTTCTTTTTCGAGACAGGGTTTTTCTGTGGCTTTGGAGGCTGTCCTGGAACTAGCTCTTGTAGACCAGGCTGGCCTCGAACTCACAGAGACCTGCCTGCCTCTGCCTCCCAAGTGCTAGGATTAAAGGCGTGCGCCACCACCGCCTGGCTCAGACACCCCCACCTTTATGATTTACATGTGCCCAGTGTGGTGGTGGTCTTTTTTTTTTTTTTTTTTTTTTTTTTTTTTTTAACGAGACAAGGTTTTTCTGTATTGTTTTGGAGGCTATCAGTCCAGCCTGGCCTCAAACTCACAGAGATCCGTCTGCCTCTGCCTCCCGAGTGCTGGGATTAAAGGCGTTCTTAATCTTACAAAATTTGTACTCTCTGTGCTGAAAAGATAAATCCCAACGTGTGCCTCATTGGATGAGTTATAGTCTCAGTTAGAGTCTATTATCTCAAGTCTTGGGCAACATTGACTGAATTGATGTTTCTACTTTGTTTTGAACCACAGAGACTTAGTGATAAAACTGGGCCAGTAGCTCAAGAGAAAAGTTGACACTTGAACAGCATCTCCTTGGCTTTCCTGCTGTCGACACTCCCCGGCTGCTGCAGAGCTCGGCCACAGCTATGAAGGAAGATGGCAGGCGTGCGCAGGGAAGGACGCCACATGTGCTCTTGTAAGGGTTTGCTTAGTTTTCTTGTCACTTCGTTGCACTGAAATGAAATTCCTATATCCCCATCCCCTATCAAAGTGTTTGAACTTTGGAAGAAAAATGAGTAACTTTTTTGTCAATGAAATAATTCATACACAGAATTTGTCAACATGAGAAAAATGGAGTGTGCTCGGTTGCCCAGCTGGTTTTGTCATAAATTGGAGACACAAATGGTAAAACTAAAGACTTACTTCATTTGCAAACCACTTGGTTTTATTGTAAAAGTTGTGGAATATGAACTAGGGATCTCATTTGGGACAGAGTGTGCTTGTTCTATGGGGCAGAACTTAAGTCTTAAGAACTGTCCAATTTCTTCTCCTGGAGTTGTATTCATTAACTACTGTGATTATACAGATCCTCAACTGGGGCTTTGCAAATGTCCTAAAAATTCCTTTCTAATGAGATTTGTCCATTCGGTGATCAAATTAGGATGGGGACACCTGCTTCTGCTGACAGTAATTTTCTCTTGCCAAAAAAAAAAAAAAAAGCTTAGTGTTAAAACCTACTCTATTTAAAGAGATCTTGAGTTAAGCGAGTTGTAAGACTGCTGGGAGAACCAGATCAATTGGAAATGGGTAATTTTTGTTTCAGAAAGAGACACCAATGTGGAAACTGCTGGTAGGGTCTGGCCTTAATCAAGTGCCTGTTGGGACCTCCACAGATGAAGGGCTCTAGACAGCAGGGAAGGCCACTTGTGCCAGCAGCCTTCCCCATGCTTCTGCCTTTGTTGAAACTCTATGCCACTGTTGAGAGCTCATGCAAACTATTACCTGGGTATTTGTCCACTAATGACTACAAGGAAACAAGTGGATTTGGGGAGACTGTATATTATCAGCCTCTCAGAACTGCCCATTGGAACAGACGGGCCACCACAGTTCCTAAGACCTACCTGTCTCACAGCCATTTGACTTTGGGTAGTCACACTCTTGATTGTGACAAACAATATGGCGGACCTGTAGGTTAAACAGTTGGGGATATAACCATTGATCTATTTCTGAAATGCATGACTTCCTAGTGGAAAAGACCCAGCTGCAGTTCGACCTCCACTGTGTGCTTAGCTGGAAGAACAAGCTCGCACTGCAGCCCGTCTCCTGGTGACGCTGCACAGCTCTTACCTCACTGCTGTAAATACTGTTTGTGAATCTGTTTTGTAATGTGAAAATTCATAAGATAACCTTGATATTTTGATTTGTAATATTTCTAATTGGTAGATTAATTGAAAAGTAAAATTAATTTATTTTTATATGTTCAGGGGAATTTTAAAGAAAGTCAAACCTTTTGTAGATAATTTAAAAGAATCAGTGTGGTTTATTTTACTGATTTAACCCACTGGTTGTTATTCTGTAACAATTTGTATAAATGGTAAATTTCGAATGTGCTGTTATTTTACTTAGATGTAAAATTCCACATGTATTAAAATGTACAAAGTTTTTGTTAATAAAATTTAATGATGTTTATAGCCCCATGCCCATCTTTCTCTGAGAGGCGACTCTCCTGAAGCCATGCCCCTGCATGTGTGCAGTGCTCCCCAGAACTGCGGCTGTGTCTGTCGCAAGTGTCAGCACAGCACCATCTTGGAGCTGTCCTGCTTCTTGGGGTAGGCTGTAGAACACCGTGGAGCAGAGGAGCTGTGTCTGGAGATGGCAGGTAATGGCTGAGAAGAGAAGGGGGGGCGTGTCCACAGTAAGAGGAAGGAGAATCCACGCCAGAGGAGGTGGTTTATTAAAGCATATTAATAAAGCAGTGTGCACACTTGATACGATTAAGTTCACTTGTTCAGAGTAAACTAGGGCATTCTCTGAAAGAGAAGCAGATGTGTTTAATGACCTTTGGGTCAAGGATGCATCAGAATGTAGAGGAATATGAGAGCTGAATGAATAGAAAAATCTGATCCTAGATTCCTATTTTGTTTTAGTTGAGATGGTGCGGGGAGGGGCATGGAGGGGGCATACTTATGTACTCTGGTCAACTCAGTATGCAACTAAGGATGGTCTTGAACTTGTGATCCTTTTTGACTTTGCTTCCTTGGTGGTAGGGTTGCAGGTATGTGCTGTCCCAGCTGGTTTATGTGGTGCTATGTGACTTAAATATCCATCCCTGAGCTCCCAACTTTATTATGGACTGACTGTTAGGTTTATGGAAAGAGACAAATGAAAAATTGACTTTAGAAGCCTTTTCTAGTCAGGCGGTGGTGGTGCTTGGAAGGCAGAGGCAGGTGAATCTCTGGGAGTTCAAAGCCAGTCTGGTCTGCAGAGCAAGTTCATGGACTGGCTCCATAGCTACTGAGAAATCCTGTCTTGAAAAACCGAGAGAAGAGGAGAGGAGGGGGAGGGGGAGAGAGGGAGAGAGAGATCTTTTCTATTACCAGATATGGTGATTTGCATCTGCTAACCCAACCTTAGCTGCTTCTGCAGAGGACCCAGGTTCACTTCTCAGCACACACGTGGTGATTCACCTATCTGTAACTCTACTTCCAGGTGTTTGGCACCCTCTTGACCTCTGGCCACAATGCCTGCAGATGGTACATGTACATCCATGCAGGCTAACATTCATCCAAAATGGGAAGGCCATGTCTGGTGGCAGTCCTGATAACTCTAGGATCTGTAGCCTGTTCGCCCAGTTGTTACTGTCACCCAACGAAAGGAAGGGACACTCCCCATAGCTCTGTGGACAGTTTCAGAGACTCTGACTTCCAGGAGGGTCTTAAGATGAAGTATCCTTTAGCTGTTGCACAGGCCTGTAACCCCAGCACTGTCGAGGTAGAGGCAGGAGCTTCAGGAGTTCAAAGTCATCAGAATTCACGGTTACCCAGGTTCAGGGCTCTGCTGGGTTCATTGAGATCTAGTCTTAAAAAGGAACAGAAGAAAGAAAATGAATGCATCACTCCATAACCGTCTTTCTGTCTAAATTAAACAAAGCCTTTACAGTGAGATGGACAGTTGTGTTTCTGCAGCACTGCAGCTGGTACCCTGGGCCTTGGAGATGGTAAGCCACTGCTGTCACTCCTGAGTTGTGTCCCCAGCCAGGAAGCTCTGTAAGTCTGAGCGTGATGTCATGTTCTAGCCTGCACTTTCTCCTATGTCAATATTTGCAGCAAAGGAAAGTACCCCAGCATCCTGTCCCCAGACGGAAAAGACTAGCTCCCATTCCTCCTCCCAGTCTTTCTGACACGTGTACACATTTATAGCCGGTTTTCAAACAGTTTCCCTGTCCTTAAGGCTAACATACTGTAACAGACAGATCTGGGGCCTGGTTTTGTTACTTGAATAATGTGGTATACATGAATGAGTTTAGATTTTTCCAAGTTGAATTTTGTATTCCTTGCTTAATTTTTTGGTCAACCTACTATGTTTCCCACCCCATGGACACCTTGGCTGCCTCAGTGGGTGTTCTGTGGGGTTGGCAGGGGAATGGGAGTGGGGGAGAGGAGCGTGGCGGGCCTGCAGCATGGGCTCAATGGTAGGCCAGGAAAGAGATTTCGGTATACATGCAGGTAAGTTTCTACTGGCAGCAGCTGAACGTAGCGAGAGGAAAGCATGGACCCTGGGGGAGAGGCTGATGGGAAAACAGCGAGGAGAGAGACACAGAGGTCAGAAGACAGACATGCCAGTAGGAGCCCAGGAGACTCTTCACAGGCCTTCTGCTTGCTGCAAACCTGGGTCCCAAGAGCAGCATGATGTGGCCTAAACTGGGTGTTCTGGTTTGGGTCATAACTCACCTGTGATACAGTAACTCCTCACTCTTGGCTTTGTTTCTAGATTTGTTTTATAGATTAGGAAGTCAATGGTTTAATCACATGAGGCCATGTAAATGTTACATAAGAATTATCTGTAACTCTGAGGGTGGGGTTTCCTGGATGGAGCTACTATATAACGTGAGGTCTGTTGCGGCTGAGACCACCCACCACAGCAGACCATTTACTCTGTTCTCCAGGTTCCCACATCTGCTCCTGGGTCTTTGTGGGCCCCACTGGAAGCTAGGTTCATCTGCATTGGCCCTGAGTTAGTGTGGGCCAGGGTGCGGGGCTGTGTTGGCCTTGACACACTCCAGTGTACCATAGAGCACGGCCACAGAACAGAGGGACAAGAGCTAACAAACAGGCGCCACAGGAGGACTGGAGACTGAGGTGATTTAAAGAATTCAGAGGAGAACATGTGGGCCTCCCTCCCACCCATCTCACCCTAGTATATTAGTTATTTTTCTCTGTATCAAGACCAAGGGGAGGTATTTAGGCCTGTAGTCCCAGAGGCATGAGACTCCATGGTGGCTGAATGGAGGTGGCAGTCCAGCATAGCCACCTACAGGAGCCACAAGCAGTAAACGGCTAATCTGAAATGGCTTTTGGAACCTCAAAGCCCACTACTCCTCCAGAAAGGTCACACCTAGTTCTTTTCTCCCCAAACAGCCACGAACTATGGATATCTTAAGGTTTTATTGCTCTGAAGAGATGCCATGACCACGGCAACTCTTATATGAAAACATTTCATTGGGGTGGCTTACAGTTCAGGGTTCAGGGTTATCAAGGTGGGACATGGTTGCATTGCAGGCAGACCTGGTTCTGGGTTAGGAGCTAAGAATTCTACAACAGGAAGTGAACTGAGACACTGGGACCTCAAAACCCACCTCACAGTGACACACTTCCTCCAACAAGGCCACACCTCCTAGTAGTGCCACTCCCTATGAGCTTATGGGGCCAGTTACATTCAGACTACCACAGTGGAGCGACTATTCAAATGTCATCTGGGAGACATTTCATCAGAGCACCACACCCTGGTTGGTTTGGAAACAGATCCTCCTACCATCTAAATTCTAGGATGACCGGCATGCAACACCACACCTAGTTTTATGGGGCATCTTTTATTGACTCCAGGTCATCGTTAATGCTAAGCAAGTACTCTACCAACTGAACTACAGCCTTAGCCCAGAATTTTTATTCCCATAAGAGAATATAAAACTGAAAAAGAAGTCTACTGATTTTCAGGACTAGAGAGGTAAAGTCAGCCTCAGAAAATACCATGGATGCAGTACCTGGGCATACAGTGATGTGAGCAGGAGTTTGGAGGCAGAGAGAGGACTAGGACAGGACACGGGTAACTAGTCAAAAAGTGAATGCCTGGTAGCTAGGGGGAGGCTATGCCCGATTCCCTAACAGGTCCACAAGTACTCATAGAGCAGGGGTGCTGCAGAAAACCACTCGGGTTTGACAACATGTCGTAGATGGCTGAAAGCAGCTGGAGGATGAGGCCAGAGTGCATCATGACCATGCCTGGGCACAAGAGAAGAGGAAGACAACTGGCTTCCTAGGGCTCTGCAAACCACCTTGGTTTTTCAAGACAGGGTTTCTCTGTGTAGCTCTGGAGGCTGTCCTGGAACTCACTCTGCAGACCAGGCTGGCCTTGAGCTCACAGAGATCTGCCTGCCTCTGCCTCCAGAGTGCTGAGATTAAAGGTGTGCACCACCACCGCCCGGCTGCTCCTTGTTACTTCTAAAGAGAACAGGTCCCCACAGTCACAATCCAGACCAGTGCAACTTCGTAGTTCACAAAGGACTTTCAGGGCTTCCACAGTCTTTGGGAGCTGCCTGGGAAGGCTGCAAAGGGTTCATGAAACCAGAGACTCCTGCAGATTTGGCCTTTAAGGATCCATGTTGAAGCTGACCAGATTAATAGTATCTGCTTCATGGATGCTAACTCAGGAATGAGATTGATGGGAAACCAGAGCAGAGATGTGGAATAATTATGTCTTAGCCATTATTTGGAAGTTGGCCTTGTGTTAGTCATTCATCAGGGCAAGGGGCTTTAAAACTTAAAGTTGAAATAATTGAAACCTGTTTTTACTAAATGCCTACCCTTGATTAGGCGAGGCCACTGCAGTCACGTAAGGCCTTACTCTGGGGAGTGGAGGGACACCCATGCAAGAGATGCAGCCAGGAAGACAAGCCCAACATGGGTGGAGTCCCTCCCAGGATGGACCTTATCCAGGTGCAGAACTTACCAGGGCATACCCAGCCTGTGTATCTTTGGGGCTCAGAAGCTGCAGCTCAGGTCAGGGCACTGTCATCTCTGTCCTGGTGATTGCAAACAAAATCAGCTGTGAGGTCTCGTGCACCTGCCTTGTGCTGGGTGGTCAGATGGACACTGCTCCTGATGGCTGTAGCATGTAAGTGGGAGCCCCACCCCTACCCCACTCCACCTTCCAAAAACTGCGTAGTGAGACCACAGCGCCGTCTGGCCGTACTCCTTTGCTCACTGCTCTAGGTCTGGATTCAGACAAGTCTTCTAACTCACAATCTACCCTTATTTAAAGCACACCCGAGGAAGCAGCGTTAGAAACCAGGCTGATGACATTTAGTGACAATGAGAAGAGCTAGTGTGGGCAGGGCTTCATGTGGTCTTGTCAGATGTTAGTATCCATCTTTTGTCAACAGTAAATAGCCCCCAACAGATGCTAAAGCAACTCATCCAGGTCATCGGTTAGCTGGAGCCAGTCGGGTCTGGGACCCTCAGAATGAATGCAGCACAAGGCTAGAGATTCTGGGGGCACCAGGGAAGACTGGGCTCTGACGAGAGTGTATTTCCAGGGAGTTCACTCATAGATTAAGGACCCCCAGGCAGGGATGGGAGCTATGTATGTATGCTATGACATACATTTTGTCACGGAAACCCAGAAATCTGTACAAGGCATGACAGAGCCACAGATTAAAGCACTGTGACCGAAAAGGGTGATTTAGTAGCCAGGACAGTCTACTTTGTTTCTCCCATGTGTCTGCCTTAGATAGGTGGGGTGCGGTAGGGTCAGTCTGGAATGTATAGTGGCCACTTCATTGGCCACCAGTGCCCGGGGAGAAGCCCTAGGGAAGCCTGGCCAGCCTGTGGCCTCATCTGGGAAAAGGATAAGCAGCACTACTGGGTTCTGGCAGTCTTGTCCACCCCCCTCTGCCAGGCAGAAGTGGTCTTCTCCATGTCTCCATGGTCGCTTGTCCACAGAGCTGAAGGGACGAAACGCCTGCTCCAGACACAAGTTGTTCAGTTGATTTTTCATTTTGCAGCTGCTTTTTTGGAACCAACTGAGTCTGAGATGCAGTTCCCTTGAGGTTAGAGCAGGGAGGCTTTCTTTGTCTGAGCTCAGGGAAGGGCGTGGGTTTACCTAGCTCTATGTCTGCAGGGCAGAGGTGACCTCTACCACCATAATTAAAGCTTTAGAGAAAAGGACACCTTTACAGACATCAAGTCATTTTCCTTAAACGTGTTCTGGATACCTCCCTGCTTTTCGGGTTAGGATGCTGCATGTACCAGCAGTGGCAGGTTTTAAAGGAATGTTGGACACGTGTGACAGCTCAGAGAGCGAGAGGGCTCAACAGGAGCCTGCAGGACAGTAGACTTCACCTGTGTACTGAGAAACTGGGCCGCTCCTTGGTTCCCAGAAACCTCTGCACAAGCTCTCCAGGAATTCTCTGGCTGTGGGCATGCTTCTCCTCAGTATCCCGAGCTTAGACTATTTTACCCCATGCTCTTGTTAATTCGGGTAATTTTCTGAACCAATTAAGATGGCCTCTCATTGTTGTGTGCCAGCCAGCTGGAGGCCAAGCTGGTGTATCGCTGGAAGTAACCTTGTCTCGCTGCTGAGTCCCAGCAATGAACTCACTGTGAGTTCTTCAGTTACTTTTTTGTTTTTTGGGCGTATGCCACCACCAGCTCCTTCGGTTACATTATTAAAAGAGCACATTAGGTCAGAATTCTTCCATGTTAGTTCATTCCCACGCGCCTGGCCCTAGAGTATTATTTGAAATGTACCAGTAGTAAAGTTTGCAGTGAGCAGCAAGTTAAAAGTGCAAGCATCCCTTCCCCTGAAACTCAGGGCTTGTAATCAGCACCACACAGCATCTATGATTGACTGATTTTTTTTTTAACTAAGGCACATGACGTTTAGAAATACTGAGGTACAAAATGCAAATTTCTGCATGAGATCTCTGAAGTACTCCTTTGGAAAATGATGATGAAAAATCATTCTCCAGCAGCTTCAGCTTTTAACTTGCTTTCTCTTTTGGACCAGTTCAACCAGCAGCTTGTATCTAGCAATGCAGTCCTCCTGTAGGAAGAAAAAGTCGTGGTTAACGGCTGTCAGCTCACTGTGACCTAATTGTGCCCATCCTAATGACAAAGCCTTGTGTTCATTTCCTTTGGAACTTCTGATCATTCTGGGAAAACCCAGCTGGTCCCAGGCAGATCTGGGCTGAGAAGGCCTGCCGTAAGGCTGGCCACAGTGATGCCACAGCTTCTGAGAGTGCGGTCACCTTGACAGTCCCCACTTGGGCTTGGGAATTGCTCCTGTCATGGTAGCACTCACGGCCTCGTCACATCCCGTTCCAGAGTCCCAGCTCTGGATATACCTCTCCCTGGTGGCTGCTGGGACCTTCCTTTGTGAGCCACAACACAGAACTAGCCAAGTCTTCCTCACACTCCCCCAGTCTCCTGTCATCCTCGCCATCAGGTGACAAGATGGTAACCTCAGAGTTCTCAGAACAGATAAGGCGGTGGAAAAGGCCTCATCATCCTCAGGTGGGCACTGTGTGCTTCAGAAGCCGTTCTGTTTCTGTGTCGGTAATACCAATGCTATGCTGCTGTGAGACTGCTAACTCAGGGTTCAGGGCAAATGACTGCTGTTCTGGAGTCTGGGACAGGGGACGGTGCCCATTCTCAGTGAAGCAGTGTTGGACTGGCCTCTCTTAATGAGTGCCTCCCAAGCCAGGCTTTGATCCCAGCACTTGGGAGGCAGAGGCAGATGGATCTCTATGAGTTCAAGACCAGCCTGGTGTACAAGAGCGAGTTCCAGGACTGCCTCCAAAGCCACAGAGAAACCCTGCCTGGAAAAACCAAACAAAGTACCTCCCTACACCCCAACACCATCCACCATGCTGTCAAAGTATCAGCGCAGCTGTGGCCCTCAATAGTCCTGAGCTCTGCGCAGGCAGCTGGCATGAAGTCACCTCAGTCAGGCTGGCACCAGTCAGCGGGCAGCCCTCCTGCAGCAAGGCCACAATCAAAGCTAAGGGAGGCCTGTGGCGCTCTGAGCCCTGCTCTGCTCTGGTGGAAGCAGGGAAGTTCCAGCTCCCGGTCTCATGCTTTCATTTTAACAAAACTCAATTTATCACACACGTAAATGGCTAAGTTTGACAGAAGTTAGAGAAACGCACAGAAATAATTACTTCTGGTAAACCAACCAGAGGGACTGGGAGAATTTGAGCTTCCTAAAGAGATCAACTGCTAATGGTTTATTTTTCTCCCCAGAAACTCTCTTAGTTTCATCATAGTAAAGTAGGTGACAGATAACTAGACCTGTGCACACAGGGACACGCATGGCCACAAGCTAGGTTTTCCAACATAGAATTTCAATTAAAAAAAAAAGTATGCAAATGAGCATCAGTGTGCCCAGAGGCTACTTTTGATTTCTCTGCAGTCCCGATGCCTCACGCTGTAGCACGGCCTGCAAGGAAGCTACTGTGCTGGGTTAGGCTGGCTCTCCATGAATGACAGGGAAGGCAAGCTTGGCTCCTGGCAGGACACTTCTTCCTGCGTGGATTTGAGCAGCTGCATGGAGCTGCACACAGTCGTGTCAGGGCCAACTGTGTAGTGACTTTACATGAACACCCAGCCTTTGGGTGCTGAGGTGCTACCCCAGACTGCAAGCTCATGCCACTGCAGAACTCTGAGTCACCACGACAGTGTCGGCGTTGGCCCTGTTCGCCCTACCCTGCCTTCTGTGGAGCAGTGACACATCTTGCCAGCTCTGTTCCACTCAGACTGCCCTTCCTGAGTAGAATGAAGTTTTCACACGGCTGTCAGGCTACTGTGTGAAGTTTATGCTTAAAAAATACATGTTATATATATATATGTGTATGTCCATATTCTAAATTACACGCTAATAAAATATATATCACATGATTTTTGTTTGTGTGTGTACATGCATGCATGTTTGTGTATACGTGGCCAGAGCACGGATGTGGAGGTTGGGATACCTTGGTTCTTGGTTTTCCACCGACCTAGTCATCAGGCTTGAGGATAAGCACCCTCACCCACTGAGCCATCTGACCAGCCTGAGTGCCATTCTTTGAGAAGAAGGCTGGCTCCCTGACTCATTTCTGGCCGGCAGCATGCACGTTCACAAGCTGAACAGAGACGGAAACACAAGGCAGAGAGCAGGCATGGGGAAGATGGGGTCAGCAGGAAAGCAAGCACGGTTAGCCGCCCCAGTGTGCAGCCCCTTGCTACCCACCTTACTCTTAGAGGGGACACATTTGGCTATTTTGTCCCAGCGGTCAGAGGCTCCTTTTGGGTACTGCTGTAATGCCAGTTCTAGAAGTTTCTGCTGACTCTGAGTCCAGGCCTGCTCTGTAGCACGAGTTCTTTCTTGTCTCTGGTTCTCTTCATCACTGGATTCGTTGTGTTCTGAAATATCAAAGTCTTTTTGCCTCTTTCCTCTTGGCTTCTCCTCTGACTCCACTCTGGTCACTGCCTCGGCCATTCTTGCTGACTTCCGCCTCCGAAGCGGGGCTTCTGTGGCCACTGTCTCCGGCTCACCCTCAGCAGTCTCTTGTCCCTCATCCTCCATGGCCCCTGCTGAGTCTTCCCGCTGGGTGATGATATCATCTGGCAAGGTTGTGGCTGTCTTGAGTGGCCTGGAATTCTGAACATTTGACTTAAGTTCTGAGAGCCTGACCATTCCTAGAAAAGGGCCACAGAACACAGCAAAAGGCCATGGTGAACTCAGAACCATCAGATCTACCACTAGACACCAGGCAATGTGCCAGGCATTCCTCACATACTGCTTCTTTTACCTTTTACACTAGTCGCCCCAATCTTAGACACAAGGGAAGGAATTGTCTGAAAGCAGCAGAGATGGGAGTTGGACCTAGTTCTGATTCTTGTCTTTGTCCTTATCACTGCTCTGAGGAATTAAGGGTATATATGGCCAGGCTGTGATCAAAGAACAGGGACCTTTTAGAGAAGGAAACCTGATAATCATTAGGCAGGGGAGGGCGTTCTCTATAATCTAGGTCTCATTAGTTCTATGAATGTAATTAGAACAAACGAGGTGGGCTTAGCATGGTGCCTCCTCTGCAGGCGGGCACACAGTTGCAGCACTCTAGTAACTATTAGGAGAGCTCTCACCACTCCGTATTTACTGTGTGTGTATGGAGGCCAGAGCACACCTTATGGGACTTGGTTCTTCCCTTCTACCAAGTGGGTCCCAGGGAATTGAACTTAGGTGATCAGGCCTGGTGGCAAGTGCCTTTATCTGCTAAGCCATTCCCCCAGCCCAAGGGGAACTTATTTTATTTTTTGAGACTAGTTTCCCTGTATAGTCCTGGCAGTCCTAGAACTCAGAGGTCCACCTGCTTCTACCTCCTGAAGGCACGTGCCACCCAAGTCTGGCTCCAAAGTGAGTTCTTAAATGCAGGGAAAGGATCTTGCTAAAGGTTAAACCTCTTACCTCATAAAGGAAGACAGACAAATAGGACATATAAATGAGAACTAGTTGTGACCTTCAGTGATTAAACTGGCAATGATCAGAGGCAGGGCAACCTCAAGAAGTTTGAATTGGGACACTGGCATTGGCAGCAGGGACTCTCTAACCCTGGGGTCTAATATGATGTTCTGCAGTACCATAACCCACTTGGTATGTCTCTAAGGAACCATGTTTAAAACCTCATTTAATTCTACTTAATTTAAGCTTCAGTTAATTTGTGTGTGTGTGTGTGCTTGCATGTGTGCCTATAGGTGTGGAGGCTACAGGTCGGCATCAAGTGTCTTCCTCTAGCATCCTCCACTTACTCCTTCTCTCAACCTGGAGCTCACCAGCTCAGCTAGAACGGCTGACCTACAAGCCCAGGGTTCTCTTGTCTTCCCCTTGTCAACAGTGGGATCACAGGCACAGGGTGCTGTGCCTAGCTTTCTCACACAGGCGCCAAGGATGGAACTCAGGTCTTCATGTTAGTGTGCGAGCACTTTACAGCCTCCCAGCCCAAGGCTTAATTATAAACAGCTACATGTGGCTACTGGTTATCAAATTAGATATGTGCTTAATCTTTTTGGAGGACAACTTGTCAAATGTAGGTAAACCTTAAAATATACTTACTTTATGTACCAATCAATAATACATCATTTAATTATGAAACATACCAAAGGAGAAAATCAATAAATCAATATAAAGGTGAAAATCTCAATCTCTCTCTCTCTCTCTCTCTCTCTCTCTCTCTCTCTCTCTCTCTCTCTCTCTCTCTCTCTCTCTCTCTCTCTCTCTCTCTCTCCTCTCTCCACCCATCCATCCATCCATCCATCCATCCATCCATCCATCCATCCATCCATCCATCCATCCATCCATCTATAGTTTGTCTTGTTCTTTGTGTAACCCTGGCTATCCCTCGAAAGTCACTCTGTAAACCAGGCTAGCTTCAAATTCAGAGATTTGCCTTCCTCTGCTGGGTTTAAAGGCTTATGCCACCACATCAAGCTTAAAAATGTTTTTGAAATAAATTGTATTGCTTGTCAGAAATGTTGAATTTCTTAGACTCTAAAATACATGTTAATATCCCCTCCTGAAATTCTTATCAAACGTCCACTTTACTTGGGAAACAGTAAGACTCTGGCACGCAATTTTACAACCCTGCCCTTTGAGCACCTTGAGCTTGGGTAAAAAGGGACAAAATTGCAGTCCCAGGAGTCTGAGAATAGCTCTTGGTAGAGTCGGTCCACTCAATAAGACCTCATGCTGCTGGTCACCATTGCCTCTTTGCAGACTGACAGACATACAGTTGAAAATTTCTTTACCTCACATATCATACTAAGAAAGTGAGACTGGCTGGGTATGACAGGAGAGCTGTGCTCACAGCCAGACTCTGTAGTGGTGGCAGAATGGCCTGTGTGTCCTTGTTGTCACAAACAGGGGCAGCATTCATTTGCACATGGCCCTTTCCTGCCTAGCAGCACTGCCCACCACCAGAGGCCTGAGTTCTCTGTGAAAGGCCTGGCAATCAGGGCTCATTTCTATCTTAGCACCATATCTGATGTCACTGCAGATGGAGGAAGTTTCTGAGCTGTCATTATCTTCAGGAAAACCAAATACTGGGCTAATGAGATGACTCACTCTGAGGGTAAAGATGCTTGCCACCAAACCTGGTAGTTTGACCCAGGACCCAGATTATGGACGGAAAGAACATATATCACCCCCTACCCAAGTTTGTCCTCTGGCTTCTGTATGCTCAAAGTGGCCCACACACAGATACACACATACCATTAAAGACACCCAGCAGGAGAATCAGAAGGGGTGATATGGCTGCCTAGCATAAAGGGCATTCTGTTCCCATGCTTCTGTCCATCTGTGGGTAGTCAGTGTGAGCACACTTCTCCCTACCCTGTATCAGAACGGCCTCCTGAGTTCTGCGGCCTTGGGCCAACAGGAAGAACCAGAGTACTAGATGCAGCCTCAGATAAATAAGCAGGGATGCGAAACTGACTGCGTCCTAAAACTACTAAGTGAAATAAAGTAGTATCATGAAATGTCACTAACTGTATTGAAAGAACAGATAAAAGTAGGTAACAGTGGATCCAACAGCAATCTGGCACGTTAGCTCCAAAGTCTATCACTATGGTGCCTGGCACTTAGCTGAATCGTAGCTGAGTAGGAGAGGAAGGAAGGCACCAACAATGAAGTGGGCTGTGCTCACAGGACTCAACAGTTCCACCTAAGTGATCCTTACACCAATCAGTCCCTTCCCTAGGCATGAGGACCAAACTCACAGGCTTCCTTCAAAGTGCTCTAAGGCTGAGTGGAACGCCCAACCCCCAGATTGGTTTTTACATTTTTTTTATTAATTAAAAATTTTAATTTATTTAAGCCAGGTGGTGGTGGCACACGCCTTTGATCCCAGCACTCAGGAGGCAGAGGCAGGTGAATCTCTGTGAGTTTGAGGTCAGCTTGTTCTACCCAGTGAGTGCTCGGACAGGCTCCAAAGCTACACAGAGAAAACCTGTCTCGAAAAAAACAATTATTTATGTGAATGTATGTGCGTATGCATACATGTCATAGTTCATGTGTGACAGTCAGAGGACACTTGTGAGCTCTTTTCTAGCATCTGAGTACCACAAATTAAAACAGGTTGTCAGGCTTGGCAGCAATTAAACTTTTATCTGCCAAGCTATCTTGTTCACTGACATCAGCTGATTTCACAAATTGATGTAAACCCTCCCTGCCAACATACACTCACATATGTACATATATATTTTCATGTAGCTCAGGCTGGACTTTAACTTGCTATAACCAAGAATGACCTTGAACTCCTAATCCTTCCGCCTCCACATCCTAAGAACTGGGATGACAGGCATATATCACCATTCCCAGTTACAATCATTTTGGCCACAAAATAACATATATAAAATAGCATATAATAGATGATATAAATGCTTTCCTGCAACAACAATTACTCTCACATTCATTGTTTAAAAAGCAACCTTTGTTTCTCTGAAGCACTTTATCTGAATATCTGGAGCCAAGTTTAGAACTTTTACTGATAAGTGTGAAAATTTTTTTGTTGTTGTTTTGCTTTTGTTGTTTTTGTTTTTTGAGACAGGGTTTCTCTGTGGCTTTGGAGCCTGTCCTGGAATTCACTCTGTAGACCAGGCTGGTCTTGAACTCATGGAGATCCGCCTGCCTCTGCCTCCCAAGTGATGGGATTAAAGGTGTGTGCTACCACTTCCCAGCTAAAAAGTGTGAAATATTAATTCACTAACTTTTTACAGCATTTTGTTAAACTACTAGGCGCCTCTGTGTGACATGAAACAGTCCCAGGCTTACACCCCGTGTCATTCACAAAGTGCCACTGACAGTAGAGGGGGTGAGGTACTAGGCTGTCCTAGATTGTAGTGAGCTCACTTAAGCTCAGGAAAGGGAGTGAGGGCACTGTTCTCTCTGGAGTCTCAGTCCATAAGGAAATCTGCTCTGTGATAATGGACAGTGAGACTCTGGCTTAATTCAGTAGATCAAATAAAAGAACATGTTCATTCCTCACTATTTTAGATAGAAAATAATCAGGAGAAATCCTAACATAATCCTCTATACTCTTCCTACACTGCAGAGAACCAGCTCTCTCTCTCTCTCTCTCTGTCTACGTGCGTGTGCGTGTGCGTGTGTGTGCACAAACACATTTTTTTTTTCAAACACAGGGTTTCATCTAATCCAGACTGGCTGGTCTCCCACGTAGCGTAATTAAAAGAACAACTCTGTATACGTCACTTTGGAGAACAGAGTCATAAATTTTTTAAAAGGAAATCTGGGTATGATCATATCTATACAATCATGTAGCTAGCTACTCAGGAGGCAACAGAGGACCCATGAAGATCCAGGGCAGTCTCACTCTAACTGCAGTAGCTTTCCAACACCACAGTTTCTAGAGCAAGTTGGCAGTAGGCTCCATTTTTGTGATATACCACTGTCACTCTTTGTCGCTGTGCCCAGACAAATCACTTGGTGAGAGAGGAAACTGACTACAGTCTTTCCTAAAGCTAGAACACTAAGCTGAACCCTCTCTGGGGAGACTAGGCTCCCCAAGCAGGCTAGCACTAAATCTTTAAACTGACTAAATACAAACTCTCAGCATCAACTGTGTGTGCAGGACCAGACTGACTTGTTGTCTATGACTAACCTCCTTCAGAGACAGGAGCAGCAGAGGTATCTGGGCAAACTACCACCCCTGGGATTTAAAGACATTATTATACAAAGGGATTAATCATGAAGAAACCTGTCAGAGTAGTAGCAAGTGACTGAATCTTTCATTTGCTTGGATACATGAAATAAAAACTTGTAAGGTGGAACTCACCTGGGGAGCAGGTGACTGAGTCCTTCAGTTCCTTGACTTTGGTTGTCACCTGTTTAAAAATATAAAAAGCAAGCCATTTTAGTTTCCACACGCCTTGCAAGCTGATTTTTTTTTTTTTTAACATAAGGCCCACGTGAAGGAACAGGGCTCACGGGAGTCATAAACTTAAGAGACTAAGGAAACCTTAAGTGAATGTGCATTGCTGTCACGAGTCTTTCTCCCAAGTGCAAATACAGGTAGTGTGTGCAAGTATAAACAACTGACCAGAGTGTGCCCAAACTGCCAACCGCAGGTTCTCTGTCCAGGATATTCGAAGCCTGGGAATGCTCACACACAGAGACCTGCTATTGAGGCCAACGATGCCCTCGACCTTCTTATGCTATGCATAATAAATGTGCTGAGATTCTCAGTTGTTGCAGTTGCTGGGCTGCTGTGATAGGGAGCTGGTGTAGCTAGTGTGCTCTTTCAAAGCAAGCACAGTGCACCTGATCTCAGCTTTTCTGCACAGGTATCTTTCCTTTCTTTATTCCTTTACCACTCCCAGAGAGGTCCAGTCGTAACCTCACTGATTATAGCACCCTTAATAAGTTAGTGTTGACTTATTAAGGAAACTGAGACCCAGAAATTAAGTGTTTTGCTCTAAAATGCCCATCAACAATAGAATCAGAACCCAAATCATTTCACTAACTTCTGCTGGCAGCTAATTATACTAGATTGCTTCCTAAAATAGGTTTAAAATAGCTGTGCAAATGGATCACTATTTTCAGTTAGGATTTCCAGAAACTGAATGTATGTCTTCACTGGATGATATTTCACCAGTGAGTTTAGTGGGGTCGGGGATGGGGAAATAACATTCATGCTAATGATGTTTTAAGGTTCTCCACACACTAGAAAGAAACCAAAAATCACAAAGGAGTATACCAGAGGGATAACTTTTGGTGTGTCAAGGACACAGAATAGATTCGTCTATGAGTGTGGAGCCAAAGAAATAATAAATCAGTGGTGTTTATGACTTAAAAATGGTAAACTCTGTGGTACTAATACCACTTACCTTTTATGGTTTTTTTAAAGACTTATTTTATGTGAATGGGTATTTTGCCTTCAAGTACTATGTGCACTACCTGCATGTAGTGCCTGTGGAGGCCAGAAAAGGGCATTACGTCCTGGGACTGAATGGTTGGGAGCCACCATGCCACTGTTGTGAACTGAATCAGGGTTCTCCGCAAGAACAACAAGTGCTCCAAACAGTTGAGCCATCTCTCTAGACCCAGCCATGCTTACGTTGGAAATAAACTTTTAACATGAGGCATGGAAGATATTTAAAGTTTGGTAAATCATGCAGAAGGCAGAGCATGAGAAACATTTAAGGTTGGTTAGCAACACTAATTTACCCACCCCCAACAGATGCTAATGTCTCCTATTTGGAAGAAGCAAGCTGAAGTTATACAAGTTTAACTTGCGAGTTTTTGAATTAAAAATTTCCCCAAATCTGATTGCATTGTCATATGCCTCTTTCTTCTTGCTTTTGCACACTCACTGAGCTCACCTTGATCAATTTCCTTCACTTCTATCTTCAGCTTTTTCCTAGCCACTGGATATATCTCATAATCCTAACACTTGGATTTCCTAGGGTCCCCTCTTTCCCACCCAACCCCCACTTTGCGTGTCCCCTCCCTGGCCTCTCCACTTCCTGTCCTGACTTGTGCTCCCCACCTTCTGTGCTTGCCAGGCTATGTTTGTCCCCTGCCTTCCTTGGGGTCTCTGCATCTACCTCAGTTGCTATTTGCTATTAGCATATACTGATTATACATAACAACAGCAGTAATTATTAACCTGTCCACTTCATAGAAATTCATATCTGAAAGGAGTTCAGTAATAAGCTGTGTACCAGACAGTGTGCATATATGCCTATTCAGAGTACACTCTGTATACACATATCCTAACAACAGCCAACATTTAGGTGTACGGCTCTTAGCCCATCTTATAAATCTCAGGCCCAATGAGAATAGAGATGAGGAGTGTAGGGAAGAAGCGATCTAAGATTCTCACTCTCAGTCATGCTAATACACTACCTTAGGAAATGAAATCTCTTATTTTACAGGCTGAGAAACAGGTCTGCTAGGTCTACAGACTAAACAAACTTCAAACAAAACCAACGAGGTCTTTCTCTAAGAATAACTTCTCTGCTTCCTGGACAGGTCTTGCTAGGCACACCAAGGCTGGCCTCCTGCATGCTGGGGCTGTAGGTGTGGGTTTCACACCCAGCTTGTCTTTTCCAACTAGTATTGTCACCCCGCTGAGACACAAAATCTAAGTCAGCTCTTACCTCCCTCCCAACAGTCCTTCCTTACCATCCCCTGAGTTAGCCTTCATTCTCACTTGACTAAGAGAGTAGCCTCCTAATGCGCTCCCAGGTTAAGAGTTCTCACAGAATAATGTCCACACAGCAGAACTTATTAGCTGCCTTGGATGGCAGATCAAATGTTTCTTTGCTAACATTTGGTTGCTTGTTCTTTTGATGCCATAGGTTAGCCTGTTTCTGACAAATTTTAAGTAAGGGAAATTTCCTCTTGTTTTTCTAATGGTTTAGCATATATGTTTAGGAAAGTGTTGTATCTTTAAAATGGAATGGTTATATACATTTGTAGTCTCAACAATTTCATCCATATGTACTTGAAAAAGAGGTACTTTATTTCTTGGCATGCATTTGTTCATAACAATTGCTTCATAATCTTTTTTTTAATTTATGTAAGGTTGGTAGTAATACCTTTTTCATTACTCCAGCAATTTAAATCCTCCCACCCTGTCCTCATCACTGAGCCTACTAAGTGAATGCCAATTCTAATTTACAGAATTAACTTTTGGTTTCAGTGACTTCGCTGATGTATTTTTTTCCGTTTTGTTATTTTTTTATTTGAATTGCCCACCCATGTATAATGGATGTATAGTAACTGATGGTAATTATCCTGTCTTAACCTCTTTGAGTGTTAAGATTACAAGCTGAGCCATCATGCCGCTTTCCCCAGCATCATAAGGTGAACAGCTAATGACTTATCTCCTTGCTCTTACTCAGCATGCAATCACTGGTGGCCAATTCTCTCTTCTATGACAAACCATACCAATCACATGCTACGCTTTCTCACTCATTTCTAAAAAATGTCTGGTTCTAGTTACTATTTAGATCCACTGGTTACTTAAAGGAACTATATTTCATTTCCACAAATGTGTTCAATGTCCCTATTTGTGTGTGTGTGTGTATGTGTGAGTGTGTGTGTGTGTGCGCATGCGCTACTGATTTCTACCTTTATTCTGTAGGGAGTGAAGAACACACTCATTAGTATTACCATGGTCTATCTGGGAGGATGCCCCATGTGTACTTCATTGTTGATCTGTTTGGTTTATCATATCACTAAGAACTCCCTAACTGATCTGCCTTGTTATTAACTCATTAATAGAAGGCACAGAAATTCCAAACTGCTACTGTTAAATTTTTTATTTTTCCCCTCACTTCTATCAGTTTTTGCTTCATGTACATTGGTGTTCTCTCATTAGGTACTTATATTTATAATTGTTTTATCTCCTAAATTTGTCTTTTTTAATAAATGCATAAAATGTCCTCCGTTCCTCTAGTAGACTGTATTTTATTTAAACTTTTACCATCAAACACAAAGATGCATGAAGACAGAGAATCCTGTGTGTGTGTATATATATATATACATACATACACACATATATACTTTATTTCTGTTTTATATGCATTAATATTTGTCTGTGTATATGTCTGTAGAGGGTGATAGATTCCCTGGAACTAGAGTTATAGCCAGTCTTGAGCTGCCAACCATGGAAGTGTTGGGAATTGAGCAGCAGTACTTTTAACCATTAAGCCACCTCCCCAACCTCTACATATATATTTTACATGAACAATAAATGCAATAAATGAAGCACAAAAACATAACCTTAGATATAGCTTCTAGTCAACCTCCCAAAATGTACAATACTTTTCTATTTTGGCTTGGATTCATTAGTTATTTTATATAAGTGTAATACATATACGTATATTTTATTTTCATTTAAGAATTTGAATTTGGCTGGATTATTTAGTAGACCAAGTAATCTGTCACAAAAATGTTCTATCTTCATGTAAAAAAAAAGTTAAAATGGCTTTAATTTCATCTAGAATAGACTTTAAAAATTTCCCATCTCACACATGCCTTTAATCCCAGCCAAGGCTGTCTTGAAAAACCAACTTTCTCCAAAATCCCCAAACCAAACCAAAATTCATCTTCTGTAGGTAATTCTGCATGTAATAGTTCTAGAGCTAAAAATACAAGCTGGAACAACTTGATGGGAAGGATTTCCCACATGGATTGTTTTCCAAAATAAAGTAATGAGGCAAAAACAAACAAAAAACACCTTACATTTCCCCAGGTCTTGTAACTCAGTAAGGCTTGTGTATACAAATATAGTACCTAGTCACATTCTGCTTCAAATACAGGTGAGGTTACCAAAAAAAAAAAAAAATCACGCTTGGGAGGTGAGCCTGTTGGTAAATGTGCTTGCAAGGTGAGAAGCAACCTTGAGGATTGCCCTTTGACCTCCACGCATGTGGACTGTCACATGCACAGCTGATATTACATACAAAGTAAAAATAACTTCATTTAGAAAAATCCAAATTAAAAACAAATTGTTCCAAGCTCGCTTCAAACTCACAGTCCCCCTGCCTCAGCCTCTTGGGGGGTATTGGGATGACAGGCATGTGCCACAAGATAATTTTTCTTTATTTAGGTCAAATGACAAAGTCATAGATATATTTGGCCTTAGAATCTCAGAACCTGAGGCACCCCAAAATCATGAGATGGCCTTCTATTAAATCTTATTAAATCTTTTCTTTCTTTTCCCTGGAACTTTCTCTTTCACATGAAAGGCTGTTATATTGTTACCTTTAGCGCTCTCTCTCTCTCTCTCTCTCTCTCTCTCTCTCTCTCTCTCTCTCTCTCTCTCTCTCTCTCTCTCTCTCTCCCCCCCCCCCACTTCTTTCCCTCCCGCCCC